CGGCACCCCGCTGCTGAGAGAGCGAGCCATAAGAAGCTATTTTTCTGCGTCAAAACCCGACGGACTTGAACTCTCACGAACTACCGCCTCCCATGTAACAGTTACAGAAGAAGTTGCTCTACGCGATCCTGAACCCTCTAGCTGAAGAGTAGCACACCCTCCGCATATAGTCTTGCACACCTTATTGACTGGATCCGGGCAATCTTATGTGACTTGTTTGTGGAGTTAGGCAGGTGCATTCAGGAGCAGTATGCATGCACCCAGTCAACTTGCGAGTGCCGGTGTGAAAGGCAGCCTCCTTTTACAGGTGATTGGACGGGATTGGAATATGCATAAGCGAGAACAAATGATGAAGATACTGCTGAATCCTGCAAATGGTCAAGCACCAGGTCTATCTGGCTAGTTGGGAACTTACGTTTCACTGTGGCAATTTTCAGGGACTTGAAGCTGATGCACATGCCCCACCTGCCCACCATTTCCTTTGTCACCATTTGATTGTGTCCGACCACACTGGTGGAAGGTGGGGCTTCAAGCACTTCGCCTGCATGCAGCTCAACGATCTCTTGAGCATATGGGAAGTTCTGGTAGCTTGGAATGAAGACTGGGCCGCTACAGGTGTGAATCCCATTTGGTGCACTGAGATTCAAGCGGGTGCGCGGTCGGCCAGCAGTTCATTGTTATTGAATAAATTTGAGAGCTCTTTCTCCAGTTGTACCCACTTGTGCTCTCCCTCCGCCCTCAGTCAGGTCGAATCTCCCCAAACCGTTGGCCTTACAAGGCCTTTGCGGCCTTCGCGACAGAGTGCGCGCATGCCTGATCCGGTCTGCCGAGCGCCTATGCAATGCCTACGAGCGCCTTCGTTCCTTTATCCTTAGCATTCGATTTCCAAGCCTCTAACCGTAGAGGATTAAAGTGCTGTCGGAAGCTCAAAGAGGTGCAATCCTTCCTTGCTTCCCGGCGCATACACAGCAATGCTTTCGTGGGGTGGCAGCGTCTGCGCAGTCCACTCTGCCACCTACTACTTGCCTAGGATTATGTCGTGGTGAACTGGACCAACTCAATCATCCAGTGCCACGTTAGTATGATCCACTTCTGAAATATTCCTTCACTTTAAGAGTAAAGCCTTGCTAATTCTCCTGTCCTGTCTCACGTTCGCAAAGTGTAGCAACAGGGGCTGCTCCTGTTGATCGAATGGATGATTGCATCGCCTCGCCTTAGTTTCAGATCGCAGGTAGACCTCTTTGCCTGTATCGAGTAGCAGTATCACATCATGCCCATTCATACAGGCTTGGATAGGCAGAGAGTTGGCATGAGACAGAGATGCGGGTCCAGCTGCTGTTGCCGACTCTGGGCGATCTTGACAAGGGTGCCTCAAGTGCGCGCAAGATATGTTACCCCTCCCCAGTGGACAAACAGCAAGCAAGCAAAAGTCATCGACACATGTTAACAGTGTCTGTTCATACAGAGAAGAAGGCGTGCTTGCAGTTGTGTGTGAGGCTGTCTTGCTCATTGCAGTATGGTGCGTCGCCACCCATGGGAGGCCACTTCGTCTCTCGCAGTTCTAGGCGCTTGAACCATTGAACTCCTAATCTCTAGAGACTGGAAAGATATGCCAGTTGAATTTAGATAACTCTTCTCTTGAGTATTTTGGCCCTTCCGAGGAGTATCTTGAGCAATAACGATAAGATGCTGGAACCGTACCCGTGTTCCACCACCAGCGCAGGGCGGAGCAACTGGGTTGAAGGTTTATCAGCGGCAACTAAGGAGGGGTAGGAGAACAGCCCCAGAAGAAGGGTGATATAATAACTCTCGACACGTTGAAGGGGCTGCCAGAAGCACAAAGCTAGCTTGCTGCTGAAGCCCACAATGTTAATGCAGTCTTCGAGCTGTAACAACAGCAAGCTTAACACTGAGAGCCATGCAAGCATGGGGACTGAAACGCATACAAACACTATAGCAATTGCACAGGAACAAATACATCAGGGAACATTCATCAATGCAAACGAATAAACTCGTATACTGACTTAAATGTCGCATTCTCCCGCTATTGCCCGTCGTTTGCTTGTGTGCACACTAGTGGGGTGTTCCCGTAAATGGCTAGATTGCAGCCAATTCGGCCCTGCCACCCTCTTCCACATGTTGAGCAGCAGCAAGACCATGCAGTAGAATGAGATGCAGTAGGAAGAGATGCAGCAGTGAGAGATTTGGTACTACGGAACGCCAGAGCTATAGAAAAGGTAGCAGCTGCACAAGATACATTCTCTGATATGCGCATCATATTAGCCCTCCAATGAATTGCTGAGTGGTCAAACGCGTGACGGGGTGGAACACTGGGGTTTGTGCTGCGTACCCTGGAATCCCAGGTTGGACGGGGACAGCTCAGCTGGGCCTCGCCTGTAGCTGAAAATTACTTGGGGCGTGCTTTTCAGCTTCCTTACAGGCTGCTTGATAAAGGTCAAGTGTGCTTGACTAACAAACCCGGGTCCTATATGTTCTGCATGCATGAACACAAAAAATTGTCTGCAGGATTGCAGCAAGGTGCATCGCCTAATACGGTAGGTCGCGCCCCCTTTACAGCGGCCCCAAGCCCCTGGGAATCCTTTGCTTACAGAGCCTGACTACAGGAGGCAGGCATTGTATCTGCTGCCCTCCGGGAACTTCTGTAAATTCCTGTGCTGTAGCTCGCCAATGTTCTCGAACCCTGTCTGCGCATGTGAAGACAGGACTACACAGGTGTTTCCGGGGGGGAAATTTGCAACACTATATGTAGGAGTGTATGAGACCTTATGCAAAAATTTTCTCATCTTGATAGCAAATTAGATCCGGGAACAGCCCCAAATTTCACCTTTAGGCTGTGTCGCGCCTAGACACATGAGCCCGTGAGGCAGGCTCCACGATCGTGTTCCTCTGTATTTTGCACATGGTCCCCAAATATACCTAGAATTGCTTCACAACAAAAAATCAGCCAGGATTCCAGGTCGTCAATGGATATAAATTCGACTTCTCTACGACTACAGTGCTGAGGACATAGCGGCATTGCTGGCTGCAGGCGATGCTGTCCCTACACTGAGCCCGTAGCACAAGGCCACCAAAGGAAACCGGACTGCTGCATGAATAGTACCACATTTCAGTTGTTTTGATCAATTCATTCTTCTGTCCCGTGATCTTACCGGATCCACTATAGTGTCCTGTACTACCGGTCATGGAAGGCTCGCCGACTGGTCCGCCAAGGTCACAGCAGCATGAGATGACATTCCTTCGTGTTGCTGTATGCACCAGCAACAGCAAAAATGACATTAAAGACATTGTGCAACTGCCTATATTGTTTTGCTTGTCTGAGCCTTCTCCGTGTTAGTCTTGTCGCCGATGCCGAGGCACTCGGGTCTTCCCTTCAGGCCTCGATCAATGCCGCTGCAGCCATTAGCAGCAGTGCGCTTAGCAGTGGCACTGTAGGAAACGCTACCACTACAGACGGCAGCGGTGGTTCCATTAACAGCAGCATGGACGGCACACCAACTTCTTCCGACGACTTGACAGAAGAAGAGCGCATAGCGCAAATCGTAGCAGAAGACATTCCTGAGTTGGACTGGCGAGTACTAGAGGGCTGGACCTTACCTGAAAACAATGTTTACAGGAACTACCTTTGCCGATTTGGCGCCTTAGGCGTTCCCTGCTGGGACTCCTTGGGTATATATCCGAACGCAGACTACCAGGGATGGCCCATTCCAATCTATTGCCCTCCTGGAAGTTGCTGTGGAGATGTTATGGGTGAACTCAAGTGCCGTCCCTCATGCACATCGGGATGGAGTGTCATGGACTCCTCGCAGTGCTCGTGCAAAATACACGAGCACAAGTGCCCGGAGGACGCGGTGTGTGACGACAGCGACACCACCCGGTACGGCGGGGTGTACTGCCGCTGTAAAGACGGCTACGTAGGAGACGGAGTCGTCTGCCACCCGGACCCATGTGCAGACTCAACCAAAAACAGATGCTCCCCAGGCACCTGCAAGGGGAGGCCCAACGGCACGGCATACTGCGTCTGCCCCACCGGATACACCTGGGATGACGCAGACCTTTTAAGCCCCGCATGCGTCCTGAAAAGCCTCTGCCTGGACAACCCCTGTGGGCCAGCGGAGGCAGTGCTGGAGTGCAGGACCGAAAGCACCACAGAATACACCTGTGTGTGCCGGCCGGGGTATGAGGTAGGCAGCGTCAACGGCAAGAAAACATGTGTTGAAACATCCAACGCAGTCAAGTGTGAACACAATCCTTGCGGGACAGAGGGCCTCCTCAGCTGTACGGACACCCCATCCGGGCCAGAGTGTCAGTGCAAGAATCTCTACCGACTGGTTACTGAACAACGGCAGAAAAAGTGCATATATTCACCTTGCGAAGATCAGGCCTGTGGGGACTCTGCGGCTACGAAGAGCTGCCAGGCGGGTATTTCAACATACACTTGTGTGTGCAACACCAACTACAAACTGGAAACGGTGGATGGTATGCCCAAGTGCGTGGCTGCCGAAACAGACCTGACTCTCTTCATCATATGTGCGGCAGTTGTAGGGGTCCTTTTGCTGATATCTGTCATTAGTTGCATTATTCTACGAAGACGGATGTTGAGAAGGAATGCCCTTGAAGCCTATACTGAAGATAGCCTGGAGGTCTCCATGGGGGCTCATCAAGACGGCATTACAGCAAGCAGCAGCGCGTGGATGTAGCACCCGACTGCCGATGCATAAGCTTCAGCAACAACCGCATGACAGTGATTTCAGCATACCGCATCTGTTTCAGAGCAACGGCCAACGTCCGTGCACTAGAACTACCGCTGCCAGTGCCGAAAAGAAGGGCAGGACGGCATGGAGATACTGTGGGGGCTGTGCAGTTCCGTGGCGCGGCTTAACCGTCCATGTGTGAGCATTCATTTGTTCCATAGCATGCTTGCCCTTCTCATTTTCAACTTATTACTTTTTCGCATATGCAAACTCTGGGGGGTGAGAGGCCACTTAGGGTGGGGATGGGTGGTGCAGTACAATTTGCTGTACAAAGGACAGTTGCAGACAGACTAACTCCGCGCAACCGCCGTTGCTCACCCTCACTACCTTTCTTTCCACCCCCCTTTTTTCTTCCAAAAGTTTTATGCAGCACAACCTGTCCTTCCTACATTTAAAGGGAAACAGCCACAGAGGTGCAGGGGGTAGGGGAATTGGGTATGGACAAAGAAGTGAGCAAGGAACTCAGAAATACAGGCAGTCAGGGGTAGGCCACAGAAGACGGGGGCACAGCAGAGACGGTACAACCTGCAAAAGAACCCAACTACTAGAAACACGACATAGCGACTTGTCCTACAGCCTCGAGGTGTGTTGTTGCTGGGTACAAATGGACGCCAATGGCGTTTCTTTGGTCCGAAATGCATTAATTCATTAATTCCATTTGCTTCCTTTATTGCAGCACCACTCGGAAACACCATACCCACTTTCAACTTCTGTGACCCCGTCAACATAGTCCGTCAACATAGTTGCACTAAAAAATGGGAATTCTGGTCCCTGGTTTTTGGTTTCAAAAGAAGATTCCCTTCCCTTCCAGCCTTGACGTAATATAGGTCGTTCACGTGTACGACGACACGGGATTGCAGAGGAAAAGGGGATTAATGACTGCGGTGGAAAAAATTAAGCAGAACTGGAACATCCATTCTATTTATAAGCATTGCTTGTCGGAAACTTACGGCCAATTCTGCCTCTATATATAGGCAAAACTACCTCTTTAAAATGCTGCAGAAAAACCATGTTTGAAAAAGCATTACTAAAGGGATTTATTGCATTGTATGTGCTGACGATGGCCCGTATCTAGCGCCGACGAGTTTCGCTAAACACCGCCCGCTCCAGTTGTTGCCTCCAAGGCAATCGCGTACGCCGTGACCGAATGCAGTGAGCCAAAGGCTACCTGTCGAACACCCAGTCGGCTTTCAGTTATCAAAATGCACACAAAAGTATGTGGATGCACTTAATGGTGACAAATGATGCTGGAACTGCGGCTCCCCGCACTACAAACAGCAAGTGCCCTTGTTCGCAGACGTCCGTGTTTCAATCCCTCGCTGGCAGGCCCTGTTACGCAGACGCTGCAGGTCAGCCTGTTGAGGCAAACAAACGTCAACCCTGTAGCGCGGTTTACCTGATGCTTGCATGTGCATGTCTCCTCACATACAGGCTGGCTACTTGGGGCCAAGCAATAAACATTTAAGCATTGTGTGCAGGCAGCAATGAATTTTTGCGCATTATGCCTGCATGGGGGGCTCCCGTGCAGCATTACTTGCAGTACTGTCTGTTGTAGCTCATGACATTGCGTCCCCCCGCACCAGCCCCAGTCATTTGTGCCGCCGTTCGAACAACAATGACCGTACGTTACGATTGACGCCTCTCGCCAAGACGATGATACAAGCAAACAACATCTTCACACGCATGTAGCATCTACGAAAATGAACTGTCCACAAGGAATTAATCCCTAGAGATGGTGTATATCGCAGTCAGCCAACAGCTCAGGAACTGCAACCGCCACAACTGCAGAAGCAGCAACTGTAGATGCTGCTGAGACAGCCCTTAATGCTCCCACTACAAATGGGAAATACCGTCTAGAATTCCCATTCGATAAACCCAAACTATGAAATTGCACTTACAGACCCTTACTCTGCTTGAACGTAGCAAGATGATTGGGGGCTGCCTCCTGGGGCTGTCCTCGGGCCAGCAGCAGCAGCAGCTGCCGCTGCTGCTGAGTTGTTGTTGCCGGGGTTTCGCAGCTCCTGTTCGTTTGGCTCTCGCACCTGTGTCCACATTGTTTTGGGTTCTTGTTAGGGTCGCTTTTGCATGTTTGGGCCTTCAAGCTTCCGTGGTACGTTGCCCTTCCTGCTGCACAAGCGCTTCGGTGCTGCTGCTGCTTCGGCCGCTTGCGGGTTGGGTTTTCGGTGGGCTGTGGGGCCCGGAGTCTGCTGCGCCTGATTTTTTCTCGTTCTACTTGGCATTTATAAGCATTCAGTTGCACGTCGTAGCTGCTGGGGACTCCTGCAAGGCCGCCGATCGCTCTCCTTCGGAGCAGGGAAGGGCCCCTCTCTGGGGCCCTGCGGGTTGTGTTGGCGTTAGGCACGAGCATGAGCAGGCGCTATAATAGAGGGGGCCCTCCGGAGGCCTCAGGGGGACGTTGGGAGGATGAGAGACCCCGTGCACGTGATGGGGCACCCAGGGATGGAGCGAGACGCACAGTCCTGGTGATGGGACCGGCGGCTCGCAGGGGGGCCGCTCTGGGTTCGCCGGGCTCCCTAGAGACCTCCTCTGGATTTCCAGAAAGGCCTCATGGGAATTCTCCCTTGTTAAGCGCCAGACAAGGGCCTCCTCCTAGTGAACAGGCGTCTCAGGGGGCCACTGGGAGCCAAGGGGGCACGAGAAAGCTTCCTTTCATGGCACTTAGCGACATCATACGGCAGCAACACATCAAAGGAAAAGTGAGTTAGGTTGGGAACCTTACTGGGGGTCCTTTTACTTACGCTTGGGGCGCCGAGAACACTCGGGGAGTTCCTAGGTGCACTGTGGTCCCGCATTTGTACAAAGAGCATCCCAGGGGCTAACGTATATTGAACTCAAAGGGAGCCTACAGTATGGAGGTGTTTAAGAGCACTCGTCTGGGGGTGGTGATTCTTTGCAAGTCGTGGGAGGCGCCCCCAGACGCCTTTGAAGGCGGGGAAATGCCATAGCGGTTACTGTGCGTTGGATGGGTTTCTCTGGTGTGTATGGGCAGCGGTTGCATTTTCCGTGTGTTGCAACGCTCCCTTGTTTATTGCTTGCCGATGCAATGTGCATTCCGGCAGCCGCTGCTCTCACGAGTGCGACTTCTGGTGCCGGCTGTTGGTGTGGTGAATGGATATGAGTGGCGGCAACAGCTGCTTCTACTATTGCTGCTGCTGGACCTGCTTCGTGAGCGGAAGTGCTGCTTCTGCTGGTGTGTTTGGTGTGAATGGGCAGCAGCGTCTTTTTCGCCTGCTGTTGCAACATGCTTGTTGCCGTTGTGTGGACAGCAGCAACAGCCGCTGCTGCGGAACCCACGCGTTTGCCAGCAGCATTTGCTGTTACTGCGGCTGGAGTCAACTGTGTTTAGATCTGAAAGTTGTTGTTGTACATGCAGCTGACGTTACAGCGTCGGCAACAGCAGCGGCAACAGGTGGTTCACGTATTGTCTTTGTTGTGCCCGTGATGAGTTTTGAAACCGTCAGCACAGTGACGGTTTGCTGCTGCTGTTGTTGTTGTTGCTGTGTGTTTGTTTGTGTGGCCGTAGCTGCATGGGCAGCAGCAGCACCAGCTGCAGCAGCAAGAACGTTCTCCTTCACCAACGAGACCGCAGCAGCAGCAGCAGCAGCGGCAGGACCTACCGCCGCCGCCGCAGCAGCAGCAGCACGGTTCCGCGCGCAATGCGTTATTTGGCTCTGAAAGGGTTCCACCTCATGGGAGGGCTCCTACCTCAGGGCCTCAGGGGCCTCCAATGGGTGAGCATCGCCGGGTTCGGGACTTGAGTGGGGGTGCTGCTGCCGCTTCAGACAGCGGCGGCGGCCGCCCGCGGGGCCCGCGTGGCTCAGGCGAGGGGCCTACACACGACACGCCTCGGACGCTGCATTTGCGGGAGAGGCCATCTTGCTCTCCAGGGGCCTTCAGGGGGCCCTCTTTGGACCGTGGCAGCGACAGAGAAGCGCGGCGGCACGGAGGGGGAGGTACACGACCTGCGGAGTTGAGGGGTCAAAGGGGGAGCTCCAGGGACACCGGGGAACCATTAAACGCCGCAGACTCCCCCCACCTGGGGCACCAGAGGAGTACCTACGCGGAGTGGCGAGAAGAGGACCGAAGTGGTCAACGGGGCCGGGGTCGGGTTTCTCCTGAGGCAGAAGCGGGCGTCTCCGAGGGAGGCCCCACGGGATGGGAGAGGTGGCCCTCGCGGAAGAGGGGTGTTTCCCCTGCTGAAGACAAGAAAGGAACGCATGCAAAGCAACACTACAGCAATAGATCGCCTCCACCAGGCCGCCATCGCAGGGGTGCCTGGGGACCCCGGACTTCGGAGGAGCGGGGCCCCTCACCAGGTTTCTCTGCAAGAGGCCGCACAGGCAACGATGGATCCTCGCGGCATTCCGGGGGAGCCCATGGGGGCCCACCAGAGAGCCGCAGCCGGTACAGACACCGCAGCGGCAGCCAGGGTTCTCCGGCAGAGTGGGACTCCGCAAAAGGTAGGAATGCGCCGCCTAAAGAGGCCCATTACAGCCCGCAGAGACCTACACGGAGAGAGTGGGAACCCAGAGGCGCAGGCAGGGCTTCATTCGAGAGAAGGCCCCGCAGCAGCCGTGGCAGCGAGCTGTCTACATCTCCGGTGTACGAGGAGACTCGCGGCAGGGGGCACCAGGGGGGAAGGGGGGACCATTTGGGGGCCCAAAGAGATCCTCTAGGGGCCCCGAAAGGTCCTTCTGGGGTGGTGCGGGAGTCCCATAGGCGTGCTGCGGCACATTCCTCCAGCCCCCCAAGGGAGTGGAGGGGTCGGGGAGCGGAGTCAGGGACGTATCCCTCGCACAGCCGCAGCAGAAGCTGCAGCAACAGCCGGCAGGTGCGGATGCATCACAGGAAGCAGCACTTGGACAGCCGCGTCAGCAGAAGCAGCAGCCGGCGAAGCAGCAGCCGCAGGCGTGAGGAGGGACGGCCGCCGAGAAACCGGCTGCAGGAGCGGGAGAGAGCGTCCCGCTTCCGCAGCGGCAGCAGAAGCAGCAGCAGACGCAGCGGCAGCAGAACACGCAAACCCAGGCACAGTGGCAGCCCCAAATACTGGGGGCGCCAGCGGCGTTCCTTTGAGTCGCGCCATTCGGACTCGGAGGGGGCCCGTTGGAGACGGTCGCCGGGACCCCGCAGGGGGAGCATTTCCCCCACCGAGGGGGAGGCCCCTCTAGAAGATGAGAGGAGGAGATGGAGACACCGCAGAGAACAGCTGCAGCGCCGGCTGAGAGGGGCAGTAAACGGAGCATCTTCCTCGGCACCTACTGCAGCAGCAGGGGCTGGAACACCAGCGGCGGGACCCACACCTGTAGAGGGGCCTCCTCCGGCAGCACTTGGGAACCCAGGGGTCGCTAGTCCTGATTGGCAGCAGCAGCAGCAACAACAACAACAGCAGCAGCAGCAACAACAACAACAACATCAACAGCAGCAGCAGCAGCAGATGCAGATACAGATGGGCTACGGGTGGGCCCCAAGCGGCTCGCCTTTCGCTCCCCCTGCTGTTTCTCAGCATCCTCATCTGAGGGCCCCCGAGGGATTCTACAGTGCACAAGGGCCAACTGTGAGGCCGAAGCGGGGGCCAGCGGAGGGGCCTCCAGGTAGCCCATACCCTCCTCAAGGGTCCCAGCAAACGTATGCTCCTCAGGGGGGCCCGGCCTACTACCCTCAAGGGCCCCCATCTGCGGGCTGGCCGCAGCAACCGCCACCGCCGCAACAGCAGCAGTACGGCGCCAACGTGTGGGGTCCACCGTCGAGAGGAGACGGATTTCTCTCTGCTGCATGGCCGCAGGCAGCGCCTTACGGGGGTCCCCGGGGCCCGCCAGACGAATATGCGCAGCATCAGCAGCACCCCCACCATCCTCAGCAGCCCCCTTTGCATCTGCAGCAGCAACAGCGAGCAATCGAATCTCCAGGAGGCGGCGGGGTGCCTCCACCACCTGGGGAATCACCCGGCGCGGGTGCCCCCCATTCCTCGTCTAGCCAAGGTTCTCACCCAGCTGAAGTTTCTCCTGGGGGCCCCGCCGCTGTGGGCCCACCGCCTCGTGCTTGCAGGGAGTTCCTCGTGGGCGGCCGGTGTTCTAGAGGCCACTCGTGTTTGGATCTGCATATTCCTCCGCAAGCGTACCATAAGTTCAATCCACACACGTTGCTTTTGTTGGGGACTTTTATGGCGGAGGCCCCCGAGCTGCGGCGTCGCTTTGCTGCGGATGTGGCGATCAAGGAGCAGCAGCAGCAGCAGCAGCAGCAGGAGCAGCAGAGGATCTTCGACCAGCAACAACAGCAAGCTCGGGACATGCAGAGGCATCCTATGCTTGCCGGTGGACCCCCGCAGCCCGGGTTAAGGGGAGCGGTGGTGGGGGCCCCTCCCCCCACCCCTCCTTTGGGCCCTCCTGGTGCCCATCACGTGTATGGAACTCCCCATTTCGTTCCCCCTCACAGGCCTGCAGGGGCTCCTGTTGTCCGCACTTACCCAGGTGCGCAAGGGGATGGTAGCGGAGACATGCAGCAGTACCCACCAGTATTCGGTGCACCGATGCACGAAGGGGGGGGTGGCCAATTTAGGGCACCTCCAACTCCGTGTATGGATGGTGGGTGTGGAGGACCTGCTGGGCCCCTGCGAGGCAGACGACATGTGGTTCCGGGGGCCCCTCATTCAGAGGGTCCTCCTTTCATCCTACGCACCCCAAGAGCAATGCCAGGGCCACCTATGCAGGGTCCGCCTGGAGAGGTTCCAGGGCCCCCGCCTCCTCCAAACCCTGTCAGAGGCATCTGCGGTGTCTGGTATGGCCAGGGACCTCCTCCACCCCCTTTCCGGCACCAGGGAGTGGCGGCGCCTGGGGCCCCTGGGGCTGCGCTTGCCGCTGCGGCGCTCAAAAAGAGGAAGGTGTCTGGGAACAAGGCCAAGGCAAAGAAGCAGAGGAAGCAGCAACAGATGCAGCAGCAACAGCAGCAGCAGGAACTGCAGCAGCAAGACAAAGCAGACAATGAGGAAGCCGCAGTCCTCGGTGAGGGGGAACCTGCCGGTGCTCCCGGGGATCAGCAGCAGCAGCTGCAGCAGCAGCCTGAGTTTGGGAGCGCTGAGCAACGGGAGCGGCAACAGCAGCAGGACGAGGAGCAGCAGGATAATGAACAGAAGCATCAGCATCAGGACCAAGTGCAACATGAGCAGCAGGAGGAGGAGGGGGACGGCGTTGCTGCTGCAAGCGATTGGGAGAGAACAGCGGAACAACAATCCGTCTTGTCTGAGTATTTTTCGTCGAAGACCTCGGAGTTTCTGTCTTCTGAAGCTTATCTTGAGGGGTGGACCAAGAGGGACTTGATTGAGGTATGAATCTCGCTGACTAAGGTTTGAGTCGCAGTGCTTTGTACTGCTGTGTTTTGTTTGCTTTGGTGTGCGACCGTGGAGTTGAGGATGTTCGATCTATATGATGGTATTATTTACTGTAATGCAGTATCTACTGGGGTGTTTGAGCCTCGTACGTACTCGTCAGGGTGCTGGGGGTGTATGCTTGTAGCTGTAGGGCTGTTGTGGTGCTGTGATGACTGCGTTGTCTTGCTGCTGTTGCCGTTGCGGTTGCAGTATTTCTACGATCAGTACCTGCAGCAAGACATGACTGCTGCAGAAGCGCTGGCATCCGCCACATGTAAGAGGGCCCCGAGGTTTTTCCCGAACGCCGTGTTTCGTGTTGCTGCATCTGCTACTGCTCACTTTCAACCTTGGCCAGCTATCGCTAGCACCCGCTGCTTATAAGTATTCTGCTGCTGCCTTTGCTGCTGCCTTTGCTGTTGCTGCTGCCTTTGCTGCTGCTGTTGTCTTTGCTGCTTCTGCCTCTCGCAGCTTACGTTGAAAATCCAGAGGCGTATGGCCTGGTTGAGGGATCGTCCGCAGAAGGCGTGCCAGCAGCAGCCGCAGCAGAAGACGCACACTATACGGCATCAGAAGGAGCCGAGGCGACGGACAATGCAGCTGGAGAAGAAGTACCAGCAACAGGAACAGAAGAAGCGGCGGAGGCAGTTGGGACGGCTCCTGCTTTTTCTGCACATGGGACGGATAGAGACGGCGGTGTCCAGTGAGGACAACGGCCTAACAGAGCCGTCGTAGCAGCTGCTGCACCACCGCTGCAGCTGTTGCAACTTTTCGGGAATTGAGGGACTACTACTACAGTCTGAAGCCCCTCTTTCTAGTGAAGCCAAAGGGCTTGACTGAATCTTGAGGCTCACCCCATGAAAGGGATTGGGGTTGGGGGGGGTGGTCCTCTTGTTACAGCACGTCCCGCCACACTGTATTTTGCTGAAGCAGTAGCTGCAGCAACAGCACAGCAGGGGCCGTTTCTTTTTGATTGGAGAGTGCACAACTCTACAGCATATCCTATCCCTTCCGGGAAGCAGAGGAGACTATAATATTGTTGTTAGTTTGGGTCGAGTTTCCGCACTATCTACGCAATGAACAGTGGCCGCGTGTGCCGACAAATTTTGCGATTAACGTAGGTATGTTGTAGAGCAGGCGAAGTAGTAGTAGAGCAGTAGCAGCAGGTGCAGCCGCAGGTGAATTGGTGACACATCCCTTTGGGCGCCCCATACATAAACTAAACTATATAATTATATATATTTCAGTACAGGAGAAGCAACTGTACGGTGCAGCTGAAGTATTCAATAAGTCCGGTAGGGTTTCGTGTTGCCCCGTGAATCGGGCTAGGAGTGACAAGTGTGTTAAAAAAAAAACGCGGTGACTGAGCATGAAAAAAACACTGCCTCAACAGCCATGAGGCATTTGCCGGTCTGTACGTGTGCATCAACTTGACACCGGTACGTCGGCGTATCCGTTAATATACCCACTTATCTGCTCTCTTCCACTAGCCTGCACCCGGTTCTCATTGCCTCCTCTCGGGTCGTCGTCCCTCAATGTATAGAGGATAACGGGTCTTAAGGGCTCGCATCTTAATCCATCTCTACTCAGTGTTGGGTGGGCGGATAATCACTGCTGTTCTTATCCCCGTCCCTGCCAGATGCGTGGAACACTGTCCAAGCAGAAAATATTGTAGGCAGGTACTAGAGCACTGCACTGCTGGGCAGCAAGGGTCGTACAGCACCACTGCCCTGTTGGTCGTATGGCGCCCTAGCGAGGTCCCACTGCAGCACCCGCTCTTTTGCGTTGCTTCACGTGCTCAGCTTGTGCGCCTCCCCTCCCTCGAGTGGCGGTGGCTGCGTCAATACAAAAGCAAAGTACGAGCCGAACCACGCAGCTTGGAAGCCACACAATACGGCCTTGCCGGCACAGCCCACAGCAGAGGCAAACGAACACGTAGCTGTACGGACATGCCTGTTACTTGTGTATGCACATCTATGGGCACCACATGCGGATACCTCCACATCTATGGAAAGACGCTTCGTTACACAGCAACGCCACGCCATTTCTCACCTTGGATAGTAAAATCAATCCGGCCACTGCCTACCACAGAAAAAATGCTGAATACTCTCTCTGAAGAAGCACCACCTGAGACCAGTGACATCGAGATAAAGAGATATAGAAGGCCTTGATGCCCAGCCAGTGGAACGACGGGTATGTTTGGCGGCAATGGTCAGAAACATATACTTGTCCTAGGGACAGAAATGAATCGAATCGAAACAAGAGTACGCGGGCAACGGTGCTATATATAGTCGACAGTGATATTACACCGGGAGGCCTGGTAAGGCTCTCCACGTGGAGAATGAATCTACGCCATGTTTCAACTGCCTTCAAAGTGCCTGAACGGGTGCAGTGAAACTGCTGGATCTCAAGCACCCATACGTATAAGCACACAGCAACTCCACCCCAGGCCTCCCCTCAGTTCTCACCGCCATCTAGAGCTTCACTGACACACCCGTCGACGGCTGACTCGAGGTACCCTGCGAGCATTGCAGTGGCCTACAGCGCAAGGAAACCCGACAAAAACAACACATAACAATCCAGAACCCAAAACCCGAAATCTCGCAACAGCGCTCTTACTAACACGCAACACGCTGCAAGGGACATAGCTGATGCTGATACTCCTGTCTCAATGGGCCCACGTCATCGATATGCCAGTCTTCCCCCTCCTCCTGAAGCGCATAACAACAGCCGACGCAGGAAGGCACCAGGGGTGCGACTGTCCTGCCTGACTGAACTGTGTATTAACTAGGCCAAGCAGGTATAACGGAGCAAGAGGCCTCAGGTAAGGCCGCTCCCGCTCTCAATGTGGTTGCTATGCCTACCTGCAGCCGCGCATCCACTTGCAACTGTACCCCATTTTCATCTGTGGCAAGGAAACCTGTGAAGTAGAGATACACAATCTGGCTCACAAATACGCTTTCGCATTATGAACAGCAGCCTCGCACGTACCCTTCCCAGTCTTGGTCGTCCTACAGGAAACTTCTGGTGTACATTGCTGCTTAAATGGTACAGGCTAGAAACTTACGGGCGCTGAAGCCCTTAGAAGCCCGCTGGGATTCCCAGGCAAAACGCAACACCTCCACAAGCAACATGCGCGTCTGAATGCAAAACAACAGGAACAGCAACAACGTGTATTACGGTTGCTGCTGAAGGAGCCCTGAGTAGAAGACAGCCATGAAAGCTAGCGCAAGGGTCCAAGGTCTTGGTTACGGGGCTCGCCCCAGTTCCTTCAACGATAAACAGAACCAAGAACGCTATCAAGCTCACTCTGACGAGGAAGAGCGATTAAAAAAAGGATTCTCACTTGCGGGTGTTGGGTATTTGGGAAAAGATCCTCGCTGTTTATGTAATGAAAGGGCATGCCATCCTCCCCATACATGATATCTCCTCCGGTCCCAGGGGCTTGAGGTACATCTGAGCCTTTCCTGAAGCTCTGATGACCCGATAGGATACACAAAGGATGGAAGAGAGCAACACTCGGCGGAGAGTGGTAGCAGAGAAGGAGCAACAAGCTCCACCGACAAGAGGGCGAACAACAGACGGAAAACATTACTCGGTGAGCAGTTAACAACACAAACATGACAAATGGAAAGGAGGGAAGGAAGAAATTACAACATAGTGGAACATACTGGATCGCAGATGTTCTACAAGCAACAAAACGCTAGCGGCAGACTACAGCACGAGCACAAGCTACAGTTTTTCACGGTGGGAACAATTCTTGCGCCCTGTTCAGGTTCTTCAGACACAAGAAGACTTCCCAGTTCCACTGTCCAAGCTGTGTTGCTGCTGCCGATGGGGCCCCGTGTCCAGATATGGGGTGGGCGGGGAACGGAGGGGCTGTACTGATCGGCTCACCAGAGACAGGGCCCTGCGCAAGATGGCGAAGACAGTAGCTGAGAAAACCAAAACTAATAAAAATGACTTTCTGACTCTCTGTCTCCTGCTGGGGTGTTCCCTTTCCGCTCCCGCCCTCCATTGCTGACGTCGAGGTTCCTCGTGGGGATCCTCGCGTCTCGTAGCTTCTACGGTGAACTGGTGAGCCGGCGCCTCCATTGCAATCAGCAAAAAAGCTAAGAATTCAATATGGGTTTAAAATAAAACCGTGATCCCCAACAGATACGCCGTAACCGCGCGCGCTGCGGTGACGCTGCGGACAACCAGTGGTCCTGCAAAGCAATACTACCGAGAGCCGTTGTCAAATGCCCAAAACCATGGCATAAATGTCTCCAGATACAGGAAGGAATTGGAACAGGCATACACAGTTCCTTAAGCTCAGGAAAGTACGAATTATGTTGTTTAAAAAGCGATGGCTGAGAACCGTCTGATCACCTCTCGCGGGCAGGAGGACGCGCACCCCTGGCGCAGTGAGCAGCTCGTGCACACTTCTGAAACTGCATGATACCCTGTACTGCATTACCTAGGCGCACGTTAATTCTCTATCGCTGCACTCTGCGTAGTTCCTCTAAATTAACCTAAATGACTAAAATAAAGGCTTACACAACAAAACCCAGTTCCCAAATTCATGTCTCTACCCCCAAAGGGTCGAACTGCAGCGTGCGCGACCCCCGAAACTAAGGCCAAGCCAACGCTCGCAAACCAACCTCAAGGCCTAAGGCTGTGTGCACTTGTAGCCCAATTGGCCAAAATTGTAGCCTAAATGATCTTTATTACACAATAAATATTCTTAATATTGTGCTTTCCTGCGAAATAGGCCACCAGAGGCTCAAGGGAGAACCCAGTGTAGTGTCTGTGCACTACGTTTTGCCACTTTGCCGTGCTCGATCCCACCGCGGATGCCCGCGTATCGGAAGTATTTTGGAGATTACGAAATTTTTGATGGCATTTTTACATTTACAAACCAACGATGCATGTTCAAAAGGGGGCCATTGTATGCTTTCGTGGGCAGTGTCTTGCGACACCGTTGTCGCAGGAAGCCAGCACACCTCAATAATTGTTTCACCACTGCCCGGCACACACTTATACAAACGCAATGCTATTGTCTACACTATTTCCAACAAAAACCAGATTATCAAGTTTTGAGGTATCAACGGGGGCTTGCTTTGCCTCCGTGTCCGCTAAACCGGGAGCTTGCTACGGCCATCTTCACACATCTGCCTGTGCCGTAGCGAATGGAACGGTGGATGGGGCTATAAACAGTAATTTATTATTCGTAACACTCCTTTGTATCCACCAGAAGCACCTGGAGAGGCACAATGTAGGGGGCACTGTGAGGGGCGAAGCGCTAACCACTGCACGGCCGTTTGAAACCAGCACGAAAAACCGTTTCCATAGGTGCTCCAGCGTGTTTTGAGACAAAGGAAACTCATCCTCCAATCACTACATTTAACAAATTGTAAGATATGTATACACCAAGTGCTACTCGAGCTCCCTTGCGAGAAGGGTCAATGCCGCACGGGCGTCCATCGAGGAGGAGCGCTGGCACAGAGGAACGGGATAGTGCTCCCTGCAAGTGAATTAATGCAAACTCTAAGCTGCGAAATGCCTCTAAGTAGTGCTCAAGAAAGCACTTTGTATCAAATATATGCCCGCAGCTGTCAGTGCACAAAAGTTAGCCGTTCTCAGCCACTGGATTTTCTCTACATCATCCTCTAGCATTGTCCGAGGATTTAGAATGCATGTCTACTGCTGATCCCTCCCATCAATATGTTCGTCGTTCGGTGAAAAACGTAACGCCCCTAGTCACAGCTTCCTTCCTACCTGCTAGGCTGAGCAGGCAAGTAACCTTCGTACAGCTCTCATGCATTTGCAACTGAGGCAAGTAAACTAAAAAATTGAAGCGTGATGTGTCTCGAGCAGTTCGCTGAGATGGAAAAAAGACAGAAATTTGAATTTCTGATGGCAAAAGGCTGTGTACGAGACACAGCTCAACGGAAAAGTAGACAAGCCGTTCCCTTTGCATTGAACGATTCAGCTATGGGGAAGCAGGCTTTTTGGAAGCAGAAGATTGCACTGGGTGTTGTGCAGTCCTCTGCCTTCGAGACCTTCCTTTCACTGACCTCCTCCCTTACCCCTGGAGACTACTGCAAAATGAATAGTACACAGTGGGCTGTGTGACAGGCAGTCCGAACCAGAGCTGAATGTCTCGCAGCCCCCTCAAAAAAAGTATTCCGTCTCGTGTTGTTCACGCTGTACGTTACCGGGAATTTTCCCTGCAAAACAAGTACACAAGATCATGGGAATTAGGATTTTGTGGATATCACATGCAGAATTCAGCCGTAACAGGCAAAATAACAGGCGCATGCGCTTGTGAACAGGAGCCCCAGGCTGGGTGCGGATCTTTTAGAAAGTGAATAGTTATCATGAACCATTTAGAAAAAATGATAAGTTCAGTCTTCTACAAGTCAGGGGAAAGAAAATTAGGCTTAAGTCACGATGACACAGTGTGAACAACAAAGCCAATTGAGAAACTTATACTTGACGGCAACTGTTTTGTGCTTATTTCGGAAACATGGGACAATGCAAGGTGAACTGTATAAGATTAAGCGAGCCAAATGAAATGCGTCAAATGAAGTGAGTGACTGAAGTGAACCGACTACGATAAGTCGTTAAACATACCAACCAAGGTTAGTGTTATTGTCACCATATCCACCCCTAGATGGTTCGCAGTGAGGCTGGTCGACCGGGTTACCGGGTGAGCGGCTGCAGAGACAGGAATCGGGGTCAAGGTGGCGCATTGCACCAAACTAGAGTCCTGAAAGTGCATAAGCCGGTGGAGCTTCTACGCAAATGAATATAATCAACGTGAGCAAATACTCCACGCGTTTAGGCAAAACTGAAGATTTTTCAGGTGAGGGATCAATTGCAAATCCTTCAATGGCTCATCTATCACATCTATTTGTACGTAGAGCTCTAGCGCTGCTTCGGCGTTTAGGGTTTAGGGGTTAGGGTTTTACGGTGAGCTCGTTTTGCATCTTCTACGACCTGGAGAAAAGCCTCCTCTAGTAGTTGCCCTACACTCTCGAGGGACTGCATAGGCCGCAAAACGGACAAGCAAGCCGCCGAATCGATGAACTAGGCAAAGAAGCTAAGAAACGCCACAATCTGAAGGGGAAGGTGGAGGGACTGACAACTTACCGGGTCGTAAGGCCATCCGCCCACTACTGCCTGCGCGAGACAAAAAAGATTCATATATTTTATACTAGTAAACGCTGCTTTATTTGTACCTGCTCAAGGACTGTGGTGATTTGCCATGGAATGCGTGCTGAGCGAATAGAAAGCTGCACGATATGACTCATAGGGCTCACATTTTTCTCTACGAATATCTTGACATCCACTCCCTTAAACGAGGTCGAGTAGACACCCGCTAAATTTCCTGCACAAAAGTACGCTACCAGCAAAACCGAGCAGCCATTAGCCAACTGCAGCTTCTTCGTTACAAAGAGCAGCAGCTGCTTCACCGCTAGGGAGCAGAGAACAGCAGGACTACCATCCCTTATCCTTTGAAGCAGAAAAACAGGAAAAGCTTGTCTTACTTCGTCCTAAATTCTCTTTAAATGCCGCAAGACGTTGTAAAAGGACAAGCACCTCTTTCAACACCACTTTGGCTCTGTCGCCTCCCTGATTGTCAGAAAGGATCTCACATGCACGTAATCAGTGCAATTCAACGCCTGCATCCTTACTTTACCTAGATGAAAGCAAACAAATGGCAGCTGACAGAGAAGTAGCCGCTAGATGGAACGAGTTCTTGTGCTCACGTCGAAGTTTGAAACTCGGGAAAAGTCATAGGGCTCCTCGCTCGTGGATGTGGATGAAATTGGGGCACGTGGAATTACGGGGATTGATGTTGCGTCAGATCCTTCAGTTTCCGGCCTTTCGAGTTCTATACTGGGGGAAAGTTGGTTGCAGGGATCCACCAGGCCAGGCACCTGACGGCCATGCATGCAGAACAGTGACAGGCAATCCTCCAGCTCTATCAACCCGCTTAAGTACGGCTTACTCTTGGAGTGGAAACATTAGCAACGTAGCGACTGCCACGTCGGAAGTAACACAGTGGATCCATGAGATTAAAAATCGTTCGTCATGGGCTGACCTCTTCGGATAATTTCCTCAAGTTCATCCTCCTTGTGCGCCATAGTTGTAAAGAGCACCGAGACAAGAGAAAGAAGATGACAGTTACGGAGACAACTGCAAGCAGAGCAAGCGGCTTCAGGAGGCGCTCGCTGGTATCTCTCCTGCTTCGCAGGAATTCATCGGTCGGACTCCCCACACTGACAGTCTTCTCTTCTCTTCGGAGGTGCGAACTGGAATTGAGGGGTGAAGAAGGGAAAACTGGCCTTTCATCCATTTTTTGCTTCTGAAGCCGCTATTTCATGACATGTGACTGAACTGGAGAGACGTCCCCCTGCTGTCCCTCGGTAAACACGATAGACACAACTGTTTGGGAGCCCAAACGAAATAATTAAAAAAATTAAAAATGTTGCAATTATGAAGGAATTTTCAAGTTTTCACTTGAATAATGGGGAGAATAAGGGGGCCAGTTGCCTCCCTGATCAAACGAATCCACACCACGCACGGGCCTCATGCACATCGTGCGGTTTAGTGCCGTTGCTGCTGCAATTTTTATAAGATAATGAGCATTTTATCTTAACGACTGGATAAGAACAAATGACCTTTCTACCTTATGGGAGCAACGAAATTCACTACACTTCGGAACTCACAGTAAAACTCCTGCCCGTGAACTGCTTCTGCACAAGTAAGTAACGTTGCAATATCTCCAACGGCAAAATAGCATCATACTACAGATTCTAACTTATTTGGGATAAATTCAAAAATTTCGTGGTGTCATGCTCCTTTGCGTGCCCTGTAAATGGCCAACGGCTCCCCGGCCCGCCGAAGGAAGTGACTCACATCATCCTTAAAGTACTAGGAAGACAAAAAGAATACGGCATATAATGCAATATAACTTCTGGGATGTTCAATAGTATTAGTCCAAATATGAGTGTGTAGACACACCTAAACCTGCGGCGGAGAGCGCCTGTGCGTGCATAGCCCTGCAAGGGATGTAATGGGATTCTGTCTCTTAGTAGAGAATAAAGTTTGAGCCATCTTCGAAGATCCTGCTCAGGCCACACACAATTCATATGGACTAATTTGAACCAGAGGCTCATCTGAAGCTATAACTGGCTGTGGCGGACTGCAGTTGGGTTGCATGGTAGACGCAGTGTATGTTCTTTTGGCGCCTACATTTCTACTTCGTAGGCAGCTGCCTACGGAACGTCAACTAACCTTTTAAACAATTGAATGCCATGTTAGTGCACGCATCAACATGGGGTTTGAGTGCATTTGCATCTTGGCCTGTCTTGCAGCACAAGTTGAAGCAAGCTGTGTGCCAGCGTATGAGGTGCATCCTGCTCTCTGCTACACCCCATTCCCTTGGCCTGCTGTGCACCTGAACCGTGGAGGGAGCAGGCGATGCCATCTGCTTCTTAAAAGTTTTTATCCTTTGCATTTAGTAGCTAAGCGACCTTCAACCTCTAGGTCCGCCAAAACAGAACGTACATACATGTTTCTGCGCCAGCCATTCCGAGAAAACGATAAGAAGTTTGCGCTTACTATAGCCGGAGAAGGGGTCACTCAGAAATATGGGAAGGAATATGGAACGGAGCACGGCCACATAGTTTGAGACGTAGGATACCGAAAAACCTGCAAAGTGGTACCGCGCATACCCAAGTCCGCATTACTTGTGCTAATTACTACCTTAGGTTGACAACGACAGTGATTGGCGCACAATATCGCAAAGTACATAGAGAAGGTACAGCCTTCGCCTCTGCTCTCTGGCCCAATCTCTGCGACTAGGCTTCGCTTCGTGGATAGCAGACGGTAGACGAAAGCCGGCGGAATCTCAGGGAAAAGTTGGAAATGTATTCAGGTATGTTTTACATTAGCATTATGCAGAGAGCCCACATTGGGCCAGCGTAGCTCTAAATAGCCTTATAGGTACCAAGGGGATGCTCTGTGGGAACACCGTCCACGCATGATATCTTCACATGGCGTTGTTGGGGTTGGTGAGCTTTGAGTGCATCTCTCAGATTTGCACACCATATTTGCATCATCTACAGTAAGCAGAAGGATGCCCATTAAGGACAGGGGCAACCCTAATTCAACGCCCTACACATGAGATGACAAAATGCACGGAACACTCTATGCAATCCAGCATGGCAATCTTGTTGTTGAATTACTGGACAAAACATGAACCAAAACCCAACATGGCAATCTTGTCTTTACAAGAGCCATAATCGGGTCAAACATGTGCCAGACGCTCAATGAATCCATCCCCAGAGCAGCCATTTAATTTTTTTGAAGACAGAGAGGAGCCCCTTATATAAGGAGAAATCGATGGGCATGCACACGAGCTGCGGAGAAAATGAAAAATGAAGACGCCATGCAGTGCGTATCAATATCTCCCAATGCTGGAGAAGTCAAAGGCATAAATGTCTTCACTCTAAAGTAAAAGATTAAGCTTTCCGAGTCCGATGATCTTGTTAATTGTATAGAAGGTTCACCACTCTTTTCTTGCTGTAGTAACATTCGTAACGTTAGGGACGCGTTCTCTCATATTCCAATACAGCCTGACGGCAAGCACGAGGCTTCATTATTGCATATAACCCCCCAAAATAGAGTACTTTTCTACGCTCCGGACTTGCAAGCGCAGATGGCGAACAGCTGCATGCGACATCATTCACCTAGTCATTAGAGGCTACGTGGAGTTCAGATGGAGACACAGTAATGCAAGCTACATAAACACCTTGTGAGGACCTGTTGCGAACAGGGCATAAAGGTCCTGCCTTTTCATTGGCACCCGGAAGCCAACTTGCAAGTCATTAGAAGTACATATTTTCACTTTCTCCCTTAAAGCCGGCAGGTCTTGGGCAGAGTTATGCCTTCGTGCCACTGGACCCGGGACACCTCGACACTGTAGGAGAGGTCAGGGGAAGCTTTTCTAAACTACACGTTAGGAAACATTTCGCCGCCTTTGCAGCTAATGCCGGTCGTCTGTTAGCATGGAGGCACTTACCCCCAATGCAGCGGCGCGCCTCGTTGACAACTGAGCAAGCTACTGGACGTCTTTCTTTTCCCTTGACACTGAAATAAATCTAAGTACGATTCCGTCGAAATCATGAAACATAGCACACTAGGCACGGAAGAGTCGGTTGCCGACTTGCATAAACTTCTGCTGGGGGTCCCGTGCCCGCTCGGGCCGTGCCTAGTGGCTCGTCCCCTAAAAGGGCATTCAACTTAATTTAATTTCGTATCAAATGATGCACGTAACAGTACAAATTATCTGTAAACGCCATTTGCAATGTTTGTCATAGAGACGCACACATTCCTGTCAACAGAATCAACGCGAATGGAACAACGTGCACGCCTCGAAGTATTTGACGGGGAAAAGGGCCCCCGTAGGGTTATGTGCCCACGAAGTCTTTAATTTTTCCTGTATGTGCATTTAAAGTTACTACAATAACACCTTAATAGGTGTGTTGTGCTCAGAGAGGCCTCCTCTTCAGCGGTAACAACAGCCAAGCTCCTCTCCCTCTCTTGGGGGCACGATTGTGTAGAGCAACGGCGACGCTGTTGCTCCTTCTGCCAGCCCCAAAGGAAGAAAGTAGCTTCGCACTTCTTCTTCTTTCAAATTTTATTATTATTATGTACTGAGTAATAGAAAAAGCTTGAAGGGATTCGTGTATGTTGGGTGTTTAGGAACTCTGCTGCGCGTCGATTGTCCTGGGTTATTTGGTGTTTGCTTGGGTGTGCCTTGTTTCTTCTGTATTGGTACCCCAGTTAGCCATTGACTGTACTTTCCTGTGATTTGCAACTAGCAGTTTATTTTTTGCTCTTCTGCGTGTGTTTGTTTAAAATGGCCCGTGCAACCCGCAGCCGCTGCGGGCCGTCTTGCTCGCGGCACGCTGTCCGTGAGATCAAGCAAGACCCCACCGCATCATCCCCGTACTCTGTTGCACAACCTGCTCCTTCTTCATCTTCTTCTTTCTCTCATGGAGCATCAGGAGCAGCAGGAGGAGGTGGTGGCAGTTCGCCTTCCTCGTGTGTTGCTCTCCCTGGCCATCGGCGGGTGCAGAGCGAGCGAATAAAGGAGGAGGTATCAGCGGGTCATGGCGTTCGTGCTTCTTCTAATCGCAGTGGCGCTCTTCCGGCAAGATCCGTCTCTTTAGCAGGTACTTCGCGTATAGCAGCTGGCGGCGTTGTTGGGTTGGGCGGCGGTGGTGCTGCTGCAGCTGGTGGTGGTACAACGGGAGCTGGCGGCGGGGGTGTCGGTGGTGTTGCTGTTGCTGGCATTGTGACCAACGGTGCATCGGCTCATAATTCTAGGGTTGGACCACGTGTTGGTGGTGGTGTTGGTGGTACTGCAGGTGTAGCAGCAGCTGCAGCACCAGGTTCAGGAGCAGCAGGTTCAGGAGCAGCAGGTTCAGGAGCAGCAGGTTCAGGAGCAGCAGGTGCAGCAGGAGGCGTCGGAGGAGCTGCAGCAACAGCAGCACTAGCAGGTTCAGCTGTTCCGGACGACAGTTTGTTGCTGTCAGTGTATCGATCAAGCTATGAGGGTATATCTTTGTTACCGGATCGATTATTGGCGACCTTACCGCGTTTAAAAACATTTCCTGAGGAGTACAACGCCTTAAGGTTATTTCTTCGTCCAATAGAACTTGCATGCGAGGCAGCACAGAAGACGGATTATCTGCTGCCGGTGGTGTTGCAGCAAATGGCATTTTCGATACAAGAATACCTACAGCGCGCCTTACAGCGACGTTTCCCTCATGCGGCAGTGCACAGCTACAGAATGTTAATAACAGTTTTATTAGAACATTTTCTTGTAGAAGGAAACCCGGAGTTTCATCTAGGAAAGGCATTTGCACAATTAGCAAACTCCTGCATGCAAGCCCGCGACTTGCACTTGCAAGTTGTCTCTGCTTACCAAGGATACTTGGATATGTGTAGGAGGGCGGGAATAGAACCCGAGGTAGGAGAAAGAACTGTTGCTAGACTCTTTATGGAGCATCTGCCTCCTTCTATTGCCCCAAGAGTAAGACTACAAGCTTACTTACGAGGGGTGGATGAAGACTTAGATGCTGTCGCGAGACTCGCCAGACAGATTGAAATCGCCGAAGAACATGCAAGAAGAACTGAACAACTCATTCAATAAATAATTTTTTTAATTAATACAACAAAATATATCTTTACTTTATGTATGCATACATATATATTTTATTCTTAAATATTCATTATATCCACGAGCTATGCACCCTCATGATGATCGATGTTGGTGGTGGGAATGATGATGATGCAGCAGCAACTGCAATAGCAGCTGCTGCTGCTCGTGCTGCTGCTTCTGGCCGAACTGCTCCGCAAAAAGAGGGAAAATTTGTACAAGACGGGAGGGCCGAACATCGAGGGATATACGACCCCAAAGTCTCCAAGGGATAGGGATACACCCACAGACACCCTGGCAGCAACGGCAGCAACAGTTGCTGCTGTTATTGTTTTTGTTGTTGCAGCTGCTGCTTCTTATTCAGCAGAATATCATTTTTCGTCCAGCTGCTGCAGCTGCTGTTGCATGGGTCTCCTTGGGGGTCTATATGTACCCTCTTGAGTCTCTCTCGTGCATAGCTACTATTTTTCGTTTATTTGTCGTCTTTTTTTTTGTGTCTTTCTGTGTCTCGTTCACCGTCGCAGACTCGTTGCCTCCCCGTCTTGCCTCCCAGTCTATGTCTCTGTCACGCTTTCTGTTGGTCTGCGTGACTCCGTCCCTTTGTGTCTCGGTCTCTCTGTCACTATTAGTGTCTCTTTCGTGCCTCGTGCTTCTTTCTGTCCCTCCATAGGGAAGTATATTCATATATGTATTGCATGCAGTCTCAACTGGCTGTGACCTGTATGTGTCTCGTGCGTTTCGTACCATCGCCCTGCGGCCGAAGCCGCAGCGCAACAGGTTTTCCGCTGCAGTTATTACAGCTGCCGCTGCTGCTGTTCATGCTTCTGCCGCCGCACTTGCTGCAGCAGCAGCAGCAGCAGCCAAATCTATGGAGTCTTTAGGGAGTATGCCAATAAACAAACCCGTGAGCATTCTGCCAACACAAAACCGAATACGTTATATGCGTCGCAAGACACCTGCGGTTGTAGCTGCTGCTGCTGTAGCTGCTTTTGCTACTGCATCTGCAGCAGCGCAGCAGCAGCAGCAGCAGCAGCAGCAGTTTGTGCTGCTGTTCGCTGGGCGCAGTATTCATTGCCTCTGCCGCCTCAAGGCGTTAGCAAACCCCTAGCTAGTATAGTGTGCTACATTCCGACAGTTTGTTGTGTTGGGGTGTGCGCAGCAGCACTACTAGACCCACCACGAGAACCAGCAGCTGCTGCAGCTGCAGCAGCAGCAGCAGCAGCAGCAGCAGCAGCAGCAGGATATTGTGGTGCATTAGACGGGGATTGCCCTGCGAGTACCCAGGGCCCCTGAGGCTGCTGCTGCACTATATGACCATGCATAATAAGATTATGCCATTTATCCTTTAATTGCGAATTCCTTCTGCTGCCTATTAATGGACCATATTCCTTCTCTATACGACGCCAATTACCAACCCCTAATTTATTTACTGCATCCACAAATGCCGCCGTCTCTTCAACAGACCAACGGCTCCGAGCACTGCAGCAGTAACAGCAGCAACAGCAGCAACAAGAGCAGCAGCATACAGAAAGAAATACAAGAAAAAAATCAACAACAATAAGAAGTACTAAGATCGATACAGATGGAACAAAGAATAAAGGTAGATAAAGTAAATAAAAAAGGATAAAAAAAGAATAAAAAAGAATAAAAAATAAATAAAAAATAAACAAAAAATAGAAAATAAATAATATAAAAAGTTTCCCCACCGTTTTCCCTCCGAGGAAATTTCGTCTCCAGGCCGAGGCTGCTTAACTCGCCCATCCGCTGCAGCAGCAAACACACCACCAACACCACCACTCCCTGCTGCTGCTGCTGCTGCTGCTGCTGTTGCTACATTTGTTGCTGCTGCTGATAAATGCCTGCATATCTGGGGAGACGTACGGTGTGAGGGGCAAGGGCCTTCTTGGCAGGTCTGCTGCTGTCGCTGCGTTGGAGGTTCCCTGCAGCAGCAGCAAACCACACAGTGCAGCAGCAGCAGCACCAGTAGGAATACATGGACGATAAGGAGACAACAGAAATGGAGTACACAGCAAAGACAGAGACAGACAAGGGGCAGCTAAAGAGACACCACAAATAAGCATACAGACATGCAGCAACAAGAGCAGCAACAAGAGCAGCAACAAGAGCAGCAGCAACAGCAGCAACAGAAGAAACAACAAAAGAAAAATTTATGGGAAAATAAAGAGAAATTAAACATTAAGAAGACACTCAATGGTTACTGCGACGCACCGCTCCTCTGTTGCCGTTGTTGTTGTTGCTGCTGCTGCTGCTTGTGTTGCTGGTGCTGCTGCTGTTGTCGCTGCTTCTTCTGTAGTCTCTCCGCCTCCTGATCGGCTCTGCTGCTGCTGTTGTTGCTGCTGTTGTTGCTGCTGTTGTTGCTGCTGTTGATGCTGCTGTTGAGGCAGATCAGTCGGAGGCCGACCAATCCTGGGGGCTCGGCACCTACTGTCTGCCACGGGCCCCACGAAGACACCCTTGCCGGGGAATATTCTGCTGCTGCTGCTGTTGCTGTTGCTGCTGCTGCTGCTGCTGCTGTGAGCCACTAAGCCTGGCCTTCGAAGCCACGGCAATTCCCTTCGAACAGCATATGGGCCCGAAGAGGTCCTAACATCTTCTCGCGATTCCCGTGTTGCTGCTGCTGCATGCGCTGCTGCTGTACTTGTTGCTGCTGCCTTTGCTGCTGGTACATTTGATCGTGCTGCTGCTGCTGCATTCGCTGCAGCTGCCTTTGCTGCAGCAGCAGCAGCTGCTGCTTGCCTATTCTGTGCTTCTTTGTAGGCTAACTGAGCAGCCACCGCAGCAGGAACGTGGCAAGGTCGGCTCTCTTGCATATCCAGGGCGGCGACCTGCCGCAGCTGCTGCTGCAGCAGTAGTTGTTGCTGCTGCATTCTCTGCTGAAACTGTGATTGTTGCTGCTGCAGTTTCTGCTGCTGCAGTTGCTGCTGCAGCAACATCTCCACTTGTTGACGTTGAGATGCCCACGTTGCATGCCACAGCAGCAGATGAGGTGGCGGCAAGGCCTTGCATGCTTCCTTAACAAAGGAGCAAATCTGCTGCTGCGCTGCAGCAGCAACATCACATAGCTGGACCCCCAAAGAAACATCATGGCGGGAAGAAGGAGAAGAGGGCTCTTCGCTGCTACGGTATGCAGCACCAGCCTCTCCTGCTGCAGCAGCAGCTGCTACAGTTGCTGCAGTTGGTGCTCCTTCTCGTGCTGCTTCTGTTGGTCCTGCTGCTTCTGCTGCTGCTTCAGTTGATGCTGCTGCAGCTGTCCTCTTTGCAGCCACCACATGCGCCGCACGTGAGGTCTCCGCCTTCCCTGCTGTTGTTGCTGCTGCTGCTGCTGTTGCTGCTGCCGCTCCTGCTGGGTCTCGCGAGGCTGACCTGGAGGTATCAGATCTTCCTGACGTCTGTGGTAATTGAAACAATTTCAGTTGCTGCTGCTGCAGCAGCAGCTGCTGCTGCTGTGGTTCGGTCCTCGCAACAGCAGCGGCCCTCTCCAATGTCTGAGGTGGCCTTTGCTGCTGGCTGCTCGGTTTTGCTGCAGCAGTTGGTAGCTCCGCAGCAGGAGAGGAGAGGGTTCTTTTTGCTTTTGCTGCCGCTTCTGCTATCCTTACTTTCGTGTCTGCTGCAGCAGCACGAGGAGGTCCAGCAGCAGAAAGTGCAGCAGCAGATGATGCAGCAAGAGAGGGTGAGGCAGCAGAACGGGAAGCAGCAGCCTTACTCACCTCCCCTTCGTGCAGCCTCTCCCGATGCGCTGAGACAGAGATCCACAAACCATCGGGCTTTTGTGAGCCCACTGGAGGTGCAGCAGCAGCAGCAGCAGCAGCGTGTGGTGCAGCAGCAGTAACGTGTGGTACAGCAGCGGCTGCTGTAGCATCTGTTGGTGGGCAAACTGGGGCATCGGCACATTCTGCAGCAGCAACAAGCTCTGTACCAGCAGGGGCAGGAGCAGCACTGGGTGCAGCACCAGCAGCAGCACTTGCTGCCTCCGCTGCAGCAGGCGCCGTCACTGGGGCTGCAGCAGCACTTGAAGCAGCAGCAGCTGCTGCTGGTGAAGATACAGCACGGGAGGAGGCGCTTCCTTGGGAGTCGGGATCTTTGCTTGAGCTGCTGCAGCAGCAAGGTCCTGTCACAGTGGTGCTGCAGCAGCAGCTGCTGCAGCAGCAGCCGCTGCTGCTACTGTACAGGGGGCACTGAGTGTTCCTGCACTGCAGCATCTCGGCAAAGTGCTCCAGGCTCCTGTCTGCAGCAATACGAGCAGCAGAGGCAGCAGCAGCAGCAGCGGCAGCAGCAGTTTCTCCAGGGATATTGCTCCAGGACTGCTGCGCCACTCCTGCTGCTGCTTCCTCTGCTGGTCCTGTTGGTCCTCCTGCTGCTCTATTGCCAGAAGAAGCAACTTCCTGCAGTCATAGAACCAACGATGTGCTGCAGCAGCAGATTGACCCCGCAGCAGCAGCAGCAACAGCAGCAGCAGCAGCAGCGTGAAGACTAGCAGCACCAGGAGGACAGAACTGAAATACAACTACCATGCGTAACCATCATCAACGTCAGCAGCAGCAGCAACAACAGCAACAGCAGCAGCAGCAGCAGCAGCAGGAAGCGATGCACGTACATCCGCTGTTGATTGAAGACACAAAGAGACCTGCAGCATCGCATTGCTGCACTGCAGCAGCAAATTCTGCAGACTGACGCAAACCCTAATAAGAAAACTTCTATTGGGGGGCCCCCATTGGGGGCCCCACCGGTGCAGCACGGAGGACATACGAGTGTTCATGGGCCCTCTGGGGTACTCCCCAGGTAAGGGTCCTTGTGCTGCAGCAGCATCAGCAGCAGCACAGGAAGGTGCAGTTTCTGCTGCCAATGTTGATGTTTCTGCTGCTGCTGCTGCTGCTGCAGAAGGATGCATGCACTGCGGCAGCAGCATCTCCTTCGTAGTCTCTGCGCCAAATATAGAGATAAACCTCCAGAACGCAGGGCACTGCTTGCGTCTCTGCTTCTGCTGCTTCGGCTGCTGCTGCTGTTGCTGTTGCTGCTGCTGCTGCTGTGTGTCTTCACGTTGCTTTTTGGGGGCAACAGCAGCAGACAGCCAAAGCTTCGTTATTATATTTAAGTAAGAAGAGCCTAGCAGCAGCAGCAGCAGAGAGCGGAAGAGAGAGGCGCGATTTACACTAAGAGCAGGGGGGCCCTCAAGGGGCCCCCCAAGGACCCCCCTTAGGGCATGCTGCCCCTTATACTCCTCTGAACCCTCCGCACTTACAGTCTCTAGCTGCAGCAGCAGCAGCAGCAGCGTCTGCAGCAGCGCTGCCTCCATAGAATCATTGCGCTTGCGGCCAGAAGCACCCGAAGTGGTAGACGCAGCAGCAGCAGCTGCTGCTGCTGCTGCAGGAGCATGAGAAGGGGAAACAGAGCTGCTGCTGGTGAGACAGTGTCTATGCTGCTGCTGCGGCTGCTGCTGCTGCTGCTCCGCAGTAGCAGCAGCAGTATCCGGGGCCTCTGTGGCCCCCAACGGGTGCATGCAAGTAAGAGAGCAGCAGACAGGAGAAGAAAGAAGAGAATAAGACAGCATATCTGACAGCAGCAAGAAGAAAGGGGGACATTTGCTGCGTATACACCCCAACTGTAGAGGAGGGAAGGGGGCCTCGTCATCAGGGGGGCCCCCCAGCAGCAAATGGTATGACCATACCCTTTTTCTTAGGTTGCTGCTTAGCTGCAGCAAGAAGGAGTCATCTAATGGGCACCAAGAAGGGGAAGGAACATTTGCGTCCTCTTCTTCTTCTGTTGCTGCTGATGGTGCAGAAGCTGCTGTTGCTGCTGCTGGTGTTGGTGCTGATGCTGCTCTTGAGGATACATTAGATGCAGCAGCAGCAGCAGCAGCAGCAGCAATTGCATCGGCTATACCGGCGACAGAACTTCCACCGGCTAGTTTGTTGTAGGCAGATGTTGCTGCTGCTCCTGTTGATGCTGCTGCTGCAGGTGTTGCTGCTCCTCCGCCTGATTTTAATGCTGCTGCTGCTGCTGGTGGTGGTGTTGGTGCAGCAGCAGCAGCAGCAGCAGCAATTGCATCCGCAATGCCGGCGACGGAGCTTCCTACGGCGAGTTTTTTAAAGGCAGAAGAAGAGTGACCCGCCCTTGATGTTGCTGTTGTTTTTGCTGCTGCTGGTGTTGCTGCTGCTTGTGTTGTTGTTGTTGTTGCTGCTGCTGCTGGTGTTGCTGCTGATGCTGCTGGTTTTGCTGCTGCTGCTGCTTCTGGAGCAGCAGCAAGAGACGGCTCACAAGGGAGCTCTGTTGGCTCTTTACGAGCGGAGGGCGTTGCGTCCATCCAGGCACTCGGCCGGGAGGAAGACATAGGGGTCTCCAGACGGCTGGGACCCGGCATTCGCCAGCAGCAGCAGCAGCAGCGGCGGCAGCAGCAGCAGCGGCGGCTGCGGCAGCAGCAGCAAGAGCAGCAAAGTGGACCTCAGCAGCAGTAGCAGCAAAGGGATAGACAACAGGAGATGACGTAAGAACAGAAGGAAGGGTTTTGGATTACTCTAAGGGCAGCAAGATATACACAGCTATGGTCTCGGGGGGTTTGCTGCTGCAGCAGTTGTGCTGCTGCTCCTGCTGCTCCTGCTGCTGCTGCTGTGGAGTTTAGAAGATAAACAATGTATGCAAAAAAGACAGCCAAAATCAAGAAAAGCCAAAGAAGACAAATAAAACAAACCCTAACCATAAACCCTAAACACTAAACCCTAAACCCTAAACCCTCAACCCTAACCCCAAACCACCACCAACCCCCCCAGGGAAGCGCCTCCCTCTCTTTTTGCCTCTTCTTCTTTTTTTAGGGTTTGTTACTTCTTTATTATGGCAAAAACAATAAAAAGACAAAAGAATATAAAAAGAAGAACAGTTGTTTCCCTTGAGACTGTTGTGAGGCAGCAGCAAAGTCTTTGGAGGCCTCGTGCTGCTGCTTCTTGCTGCTGCTGCTGCGGCACAAGAGCAGCTGCTGCTGCCGTTCGTCTAAGATCCGCGTAATAAAACAATAAAAATAAACCCTACTTTTATGAATTCTTTTCTTTTGTTGTTTTATTTATTTTTTATAATCATAGAAATACATTTCTCCGCAGATCCAAGCAGCAAGAGCAGCAAGTGACCCTGGCCGGTGGGGGGGGAAGAAACATAAACCCTAAACCCTAAACCTTAGCAACACCGAACTAAACACCTCTTAAACCCTAAACCCTTGAAATGGTCACCCTTATAAACCCTAAACCCTAGCAATTAAGCAGCTAAAACCCCTAATTCCCATCCCCTGCCTCTCCCCTCTTGTCATGACGGTAACATCAATAATTACTTAAACCCTCGGGACTGCGTGTGCTCGTCTTCGTAAACCCTAAACCCTAAACCCTAGCCCAAATAAACCCTAAGTTGCCATTTCTGTATCCATATACACTCGAAAAACCCTAATTCTCCCCAACCTGAGGGGCCCCCCCAGTACACCACCATCCCCTAGGGTCTAGGGTTTACGACCCTAAACCCTAAACCCTAAACCCTAAAACCCTAAAAAAGGAGGAAATAACTCCTGCAGTATCTGCTGCCTTCCTGGGGTTCTGCCCTTTCTACATTCACCAGGACCTCCTCCTCCCCCGTCTCTATAGTCTAAGCCCTAAGCCCTAAGCCCTAAACCCTAAACCCTAAACCCTATTAGCATAAAATGCTAATAAGTAAAAAAAATAAGTAAATAAATCATAAATAAATAATAAATAAATAAATAAATAAATGAATAAATAAATAATATAAATAATACAACTGCGCAGACAGCAGAATCTGCTCGCAGAATCAGCAGCACGTGACAAAAACATTACTAGACAGGCTGCTGCTGCGGCTGCTATTGCTGCTGCTGCTGCTGTTGCTTTTGTTGCTGCAGCAACAGCAGCTGCTATTGCTGCTGTTGCTGCTGCTGCTGCTGCTTACGCTGCAGTAAATAGCTGCATGCGCCTCCTTATGTTAATATTGAGGGCTCGCCACTCATCCCTCTCAGGGGTACAAAAAACAATTTTAAGCCTCTGCTGCTGCTGCTGCTGCTGCTGCTGCTGCTGCTTGTGCTGCTGCTGTTGCTGAAGCTGCTGCAGCTGCCAGCGGTGTGCTGCAGCAGCAGCACAATATGCAGCTGCATGCAGAGGATATCCTCCTGCTGCAGTACCCAGCAGCGGCACAGCGAGGGTTTGCAGCCCCAAGGCAGCAGCAGCATCAAAGGCACGAGTATAACAAACCTCTAATGCATGCAGATAAGGGGCTTTTTGCTGCCGCTCCTCTTGCTGCTGCTGCTGCTGCTGCTTCCGCATCTTTGTTTCATTTACATCACAATCTATTAGCTGCAGCAGCTGCTGCAGCAGCTGCTGCCGCGGCAGCACAGCGTTAGGCTCAACACAGTGCAGCAGGAAGAGAGGAGGAGCAGCAAACCCTGGTGTTAATACAAGAGAGCCGCGCTGCAGCAGCAAATGAGGGGGAAGAGGGACCCTATCTCCTGCTGCTGCTAATGCTGCTGTTGCTGCTGCTGCTGCTGTTCCTGGTTCTGCTGCTTCTACTGCTGCAGCAGCTGCTGCTGCGTCTGCTTCTGATAGTGCCGCTTCTGCTGTCCATGGACCGCAGTCCCTGCATGCACCATTCAGTGCTGCTGCTGCTCTTCGCGCTGCTGCTGCTGGCCCTATTGCTGCTTCTGCTGTTGCTGCTGCTGCTTCTGCTGCAGGGGGGGAGAGTGGCCACTGTTGCTGCAGTTGTGGGGTCAGCAGCTCTGCATGCATTTTTTGTGCAACAGCAAGGAATGCATCAACAGCAGCAGCAGCAGTAGTGCATCCTTGTAGTTGTTTCTGTTGCATGAGTCTATGCTGCTGCTGTTGCTGCTGCTGCAGATGCTGCTGTTGCTGCTGCAGGAATAGGTGCAGCCAAGGACCAGCAGCAGAGAATATCTGTGCTGCACCCTCGAAGGCTCTTCCTTCCCCATATATACGCAAAGAACGATCTATGCCCGTCACTACCCCGCAGCAACGTAGCTTAGATACATCTGCAGCAGCAGCAGCAGCAACAGCAGCAACAGCAGCAGCAACAGCAGCAGCAATGATAATGACCATATTACTTGCTACACAGCGGCAAAGAAAAAGACCACAAAATCTGCTGCTGCAACAGCAAAATAGCAACAACAGCAGCAACAGCAACAGTAACTGCAGTAGCAGCAACAGCAGCAGCAGCAGCAGCAACAGCAGCAGCAGCAACATGGCAATCAACTTACCTCCGAGGTGTAATGCCACATAGTCCCACACCCCAGCAGCAGCAGACTGTGTATCCTCCTCATCCTCCTGCTGCTGCTGCTGCTTCAGCGGCTGCTGCTGCTGCTGCTGTTGCTGCTGCTGCTGCTGCGTCTCTTGCTGCGGCAGCAGATGAGGAGGCAAGTCTGGATCAGCAACTCTCCAAGCAGAAGGAATTTCTTGGCAATTCATATCCAATGGTGGCTCACAAGGAAGAGGTACCTAACACACAAACCCTAAACCCTAAACCCTAAACCCTAAACCCTAAACCCTAAACCCCAAACCCTAAACCATAGAGAGTAGACCCTAAACCCTAGAAAGCATTAATCCTTGAGTGATACGTCCTCAAGACGTTAAGTGGCTCGTGCTTTGATGTTCTAGGGTTTACTAGGGTTCAGGGTTTAGGGTTTGGCTCTTATTGAGGGTTTAGGGTTTATATATATATCAATTCCTGAGGGTTTAGGGTTTACGCTGCTAAATAAGGAACAATCTATATCCCCTCCTAATTCCTAATTCTTAATATTTCCTTATGAATAATAAAATAAAAATTTTTTTAGGGTTTAGGGTTTATTAGGGTTTAGGGTTTAGGGTTTAGGGTTTAGGGTTTAGGGTTTAGGGTTTACGGGTTTAGAGTATGCGTCAACCCTTTTGAATAATAATCTTTGAATTTCTGCTGATGGAGATTTTTTTGCCAATTTCTTTAAACCCTTACGACTACGAAAATTAGGGAAGGTACTAGAGGGGATATGACGCATGCAACGTTGCTGCTGCTGCTGCTGCTGCTGCTGCTGCTGCTGCTGTTGCTGCTGCTGCTGCTTGTGGAGGTGGGGGAGAGAGAGCAGCAACAGATGAGGTGCGCCACTTTTCAAACCATTCCATAACTCGACAGGGGGTACCCTTGAGGGGGGCCCCCTCATTGAGGTGGGGGGGCCCCCAGAGGGGGCCCCCAAAAGGGTAGGGGGCCCCCATAATGGTAGGGGGCCCCTACTAGCCTGGGTAGCAGCAACGGAAGCAGAGGGGAGAAGGGAAGCAAAAGGGTTGAGGAGTGACGCAGCAGCACGCATGCTCGTTATTAGCAGCAAATAGTTCTAAGGAGAAGCAGCAGGAGCAGCAGCTAGTCTCTTGCTGCTGCTGCTGCTGCTGTTGCTGCTGATGTTGTTGTTGTTCGTGTTGTTGATCGTGTTGCTGCTGCTGTTGTTGCTGCTGCAGCTGCTGCAGCCGTCTTACTACTATCTGCTGCTGCTGCTGTATAGACAGCTGCCTCTCTTTATTTTTATTTATTAATAAAGAAGGACGAGGGGGGGGCAAAGGAGAAGAAGAAGGCCCATACAACGAACTATGACGCTGCTCGTGCATGCTGCTGCTGCTGCTGCTGCTGCTGCTGCTGTTGTTATTGTTGTTGTTGTTGTTGCTGCTGCTGCTGCTGTTGCTGGTGCTGCTGCTGCTGTTGATGGTGGTTCTGATGATGATGATGGTGGTGGTGGTGCTGGGGGGAGGATGTGTGGGGCTATTGCTGCTGCTGCAGGTGTGCTGCTGCTGCTGTTGCGCTGCAGTGGCGCAACAACAACAGCAGCAGCAGCAGCAGCAGCAGAAGCAGCAGCAGTTGTTGGTGTGTATGTGTGCTGCTTCTCTGCTGATTCTTCCTTGTCTGCCTCTTCTCTATGCTTGACAAACAGACGTTTCCTGCTGCTTCTGCTTCTGCTGCTGCTGCTGCTGCTCGTGCTGCAGCTGCTGCTGCTGTAACCCCCTCTCTTTGTCTCCCTTATTTACACTAAGATAGAGAAATGCATTAAATAAACAAATATATTTAATGAATTAAAGACAAACAAATACAAAAAAATATCTGCATGCGCTTCCTTCTCTATGAGACTCGACCTGTTGCTGCTGCTGCTGCTGCTGCTGCTGTTGCTGCTGTTGCTGCTGTTGCTGCGGATCTGGCTCATGTTGTTGCTGCTGCTCGTCATCCACTATAATCTAAAGATGAAGGAAACGAGGGGAAAGGAAGTCAATTATAGAGACAAAGCCCCAAAAGAGCCGCTGCATGCATGCAAAGCATGCATGCAGCAGGAGGGAAAGGAGGGGGGAATAACCGCGGTGTATATATAGAGAAAATGGTTGTTTTGTTGCTTTTTATTTATTATTTTATTATTAATTAATTAATTAACTCTTTTAAAAATATTTTTATTCTTTTTTATTTATTTTTATTCTTATTTCTTCTCCTTGGAGAAAAAACAAGAAAATATATAACGAGCTGCCTATACACCTGAATACCTTCGATGATGATTTGTGTATATATAACACTATAAATTATATTTATATAAATAAATAAATAAATATATTTATATACATTATTATTTATTAATATACTTATTAATATATAAATTAATATATATTACTATATTATTAAATAAATATACATAATAATAGTATATATATAGCTGCCTATACACCTCAGCATCAGTAAATAAAAAGGAAATATTCCTTTTATTTCTCCTATTATATATGTCTATTCCTTCTTAATTAATTAAATTAATTAAATTAATTAATTAAATTAATTAATTAGTTACTAATTAATTGATTAATTAATTATTTTTTATTTCCTTTTTTTATTTATTTATTTAATTAAAACTTAAAATTGCTGCTGTTGTTAATAATTAGGTGTATATACACCCAACACATTTGCTGCTGCTGCAGGTTGCTGCAGCAGCAAACGGTTGCTGCAGCAGCTGCTGTTACTACTGCAACAGCAGCAAAAACAGCTGCAGCAGGAAAAGTAGCTGCAGCAGCAAAACAATCTGCTGCAGCAACAAACCAGCTGCAGCACCTGCTGCTAATGCTGCAGCATCTGCTGCTGCTGCTACAGCAGCAGCACAGACAGACAGAACTCCCTACCTAATATATATAATGAGGTGTATATACACCATAAAAAGATTTAATTAATTAATTAATTAATTAATTAATTAATTAATTAATGCAAAAAGAAGAAAAAAAAAAGAAAAAGAAAAAAAAAAGAAAATAAATTTATAGGGAAGGAAGGGCGCTGCTGCTCAGCCCGCGACGTCGCCGCTGCTGCTGCTGCTGCTGTTGCTGTTGCTGCTGCTGCTGCTGTTGCTGCTGCTGTTGGTGTTGCCGTTTGAGCATAGGCAGTGCTGAGGTACTTCTTGACTGCTTTGCTGCTGCTGCTGCTGCTGTTGCTGCTGTTGCTGCTGCTGCTGCTGCTGCCCTTCGTGTCTGCGGAGGAGGGAAGCAACGAGAGAGCCCAACACGGGGCAACCGGCTGCTGCTGCTGCTGGATCTGCTGCTGCTGCTGCTGCTGCTGCTACCCTTGTTGTTGTTGTTGTTGCTGCTTATCTTGCTGCTGTTGCTGTTGCTGGTGTTGCTCTTGCTGCTGTTGCTGCTGCTGTTGCTGCCCTTGCTGCTGTTGCTGCTGCTGCTGCTCTTGCCTTTGGCATTCCTGCCTGCAGGTCCAACAGAAGGCGTAGTCTTCTGAGCAGCAGCAGAAGACTGTGCTGCTGCTGCTGTTGCTGCTGCTGTCGCTGCTGTTGTTGCTGTTGCTGCTGCTGCAGGGGCTGGTTCCTTTGCTGCTGCTGCTGCTGCTGCTGTTTGTGTCTGCTGCTGCAGCTTCTGCAGTCTCTCATCTACTTGTGATAGGAATGTTCTTGCTGCTGCAGCAGAAGCAGATGCAACAAAGTGGCTGCTGCTTCTTGCTGCTGCTGCTGCTGCTGCTGCCTTCCTCTCTAGGCGTGTTTCTACCCCGTGGGTCAGCAGCACAGGGGACCCAGACGCTGCTTCCTCTGCTGCTGCTGCTGTTGCTGCTGCTGTTGCTGTTGCTGTTGCTGCTGCTGGAAATGTGGCTGTGTCTGTTGCTGCAGCAGATATTCTGCGTGAGCTGCTGTTGCTGCTGCTGCTGCTGCTATCTGCATGCGTCCCGCTGAATATTTCCTTAACTTCCTGCTGCAGGCGCTGCCACATCTTCGGCTGCTGCTGCTGCTGCTGCTTCTGCTGCAGCAGCGGGCTGTTAGAGGCAAAGAGGGACTTGTAGGGAGAGGGGATGTTGCTGCTGCATGCGCTGCTCGGTCTGCTGCTGTTGCTGCTGAAGGGTGCTGCTGCTGCTGCTGCTTCTGCACCTCTGCATGCTTCTGCTATTACCTGCGTGCTGCTGCTGCCCAATAGTTCCAGTAAGTTCGTCGTGCTGCTGCTGCTGCTGCTGCTGCTGCTCTGTGCTGCTGCTGTCTCTATACTGAGAGGTCCATCAACATCAAAGGATGGGGAGGCGTCGTCACTCTCTTGCAGCACTAGCTGCTGCTGCTGTTGCTGCTGCTGCTGTTGCTGCTGCTGCTGTTGCTGCTGTTGCTGCTGCTGCTGCTTTTGCTGCTTCTGCTGCTGCAGTATTCTAGGCAATTCTTCATCAGAGATAATGACGGAAATCTCTTCGCTGCTCGCCTCTGTTGGTGCTGTTGGCGTCTTTGCTGCTGCTGCTGCTGCTGCTGCCGGTGCTGCTGCTGCTGCTTCTGCTGCTGCTGCTTCTGCTGCTGCTGCTTCTGCTGCTGCTACTTCTGCTTCGGCTGCCTCGTCCACACGCTTTGACGAATGGCGTGGCCGTTTGCCTACACTCGTGCTGCTGCTGCTGCTGCTGTTGCTGCTGCTGCTGAGGTTGTCGCTGCTGTTGGTGCTGCTGCTGCCGCTGCTGCTGCTGCCGCTGCTGCTTCTTCTGTCTGTGCCATCGCTGCTGCTGCGTTTTCTACCGCGCTTTTTATGCTGCTGCTGAGCCTCTTGCTGCTGCTGCTGCAGCTGCTGCTGCTTTGCATGCGGCAGTTGTTGGGTCGGTGCGACGGAGGTATCAACAGTAGACCTTCTGCTTCCATTTAGCCCCATAAGGTCTGCTGCTGTTGTTGTTGTTGCTGCTGCTGTTGCCGTTGCTGCTGTTGCTGCTGCTGCTGCTGTTGCATCTGCTGCCGTCGCTGCATCCGTTGGCTCCCCGGCCGTCAATGCTAGTCCGTGTAGATCATTTGCTGCTGCTGTTGCTTTTGGTGCTCCGGTCCCATCTGTTGCTCCTGCTGCTGCTGCATCTGCTGCTGCTGCTGTTGTTGCTGCTGCTGCTGCAGGTGCTGCTGCTGCTGTTTCTGGTTCTGAGTCGCTGCAGCTGCTGCTTGGCCTTAAGAGTTCTTCTAAGTCGAACATTTCTGTTAGCTGCTGCACAGGTGGACTAACATCTGCTTCTTGCTGCTGCTGCCATCTTGCTGCTGCTGCAGCAGCAGCAGCAGCAGAAGCAGCAGCAGCAGCAGCAGCATCTCCTCCTGCTGCTGCTGCTGCAGCAGAAGATGTTTCTGCTGCAGATACAGCACCACCAATAACATCATTCCTTCTTATATCATTATGAATCTGTTTTTGCTGCTGTTGCTGCTGCTGCACGATCATCAACTTTTGCTGCTGCTGCTGCATTTGCTGCTGCATTTGCTGCTGCTGCACTTGCTGCTGCTGCTGCTGCTGCTGCTGCTGGATTATAAGAGAATTAGTATATTGCCAACAAGAATGTTTATATATTTTTTTCCTTATTGGCTTCCACATACGATTAGGATTAAGAGGAATAAATTTATCTTTTTTTATTTGCTGCACGCAGCAGCAAAATGTTGCTGCAATTAATTCTGCTGGCAGCAACTGCAGCGCAGCAAATGTCTTGCTGCTGCAAGGAAGAGGAAGCAGCAAATGTTGCGGTGGTGGGGTACTGCAGCATGAACATGGTAACGGTAAGGATAAGAAAGACCACTGTGCTAATTGCTTCTCTCCCGCTGCTGTTCCTCCTCCTGCTGCTGCTGCTGCTGTTGTTGTGTCGCTGCAGTCTAGTAGGTGATGAGGACCTATACCACAGTACTGCTGCTGCTGCTGCTGCTGCTGTTGCTGCTGCTGCTGTTGGGCAGGGGAGGCAGCCTTAAGGGGAATTATCTCCCCTCCCCCGCGCAGAGGAATGACTGGCATAGGAGAGGAGGAGATAAGGATTTATCTGCTGCAGCAACTGCTGCTGCAGCAACTGCTGCAGCAGCAACAGCTGCAGCAGTTGCTGCAGCAAATAAGCCGGTTGTGTGTGTCTGTTAGATAATTGCTGCTCATGCGGCAGTTAGCAGCAGCAGCAGCACACATTAATTTTTCATACAAAAGACGCAGATGCAGCAGCTGCAGCAGCAGCAGCAGCAGCAGCAAAGAAGATAAGCTAGCAGCAAAAAGGTGGTGAGGTCGTTGTATACAGAGGGGGGGTTGGGGGGGGGGAAAAGAAAGAAGAATAAATAAGTTATTATTTGTTGCTGTTTATTATATTAATAAATACATATAAATAAAACATTTATTTAATTTATTTCTTATTAAAAAAAAAGAAAAAAGAACAAAAATATGCATATACACCTTGGGGTGTACAGGCAGCTTGTTGGTCTGCGGCAGCCCCGACAAGTCCAGCAGCAACAGCAATGAGCTGTTGCTGCATGCAGCAGCAGCAGCAGCAGCAGCAGCAGCTGCTGCTGCTGCTGCTGTTGCT